GCCATCTAGATGCTACGATGGGTCTCTCCTCGTCCAGAGCAAAGAAGAATGAAGAAAACGAAAATTCATGGAAACAATTAGTCCTAGAGAATGGTACACCATCCGATCTGCAGCCTATAAGACTATGAGACCAGAAGAACTAGATGGTGCCCGGCTACCACTGTCATCCACTTGGAAGGGGATCTATCTAAGAGATCCTTGATAGAGAGGGAGAACAATGTGGTACAAAACTCAAAATCATTTGGGGGAAAAAAAAAGGGGGGGACCAGGTTTGCTGGTCCGATAGAGCCTGGTGGAACCACTGAGACTGTGGCCCCTAGCTGCCTTTCAGGTGTGGAATTGAACTCACACCCGTGGTTTCCAGACAAACAAAAGATAGGCATATGAGTTGAACATTTACCTCAAGTAGATACTCTCCTTGGAGAGAACAATCATGGGAGAAAGAAGTGCTGCTTACGCACAGGGAGACAGCTCAGGGGGCAGGAGTGCACGGAGGGGTGGACACAGGGAAGAGGTAACTATGGGGAGGAAGTGGGAGGGGAGCTGTTGCATTGTGGTAAACTGTGATCAATGTCATGAGACGAAGTGTATGTGAACTGCTGTATGGAAAGTGAATTTGCTCTATAAATCTTCACCCAAATCACAATTTAAAAAAAAAAAGAAGAAGAAGGCTAGATAATAACAAGTGGTGGTTGAGAATGTGGCAAAACTGGAACCCTCATACATCACTGGTAGAAACATAAAACAGCACAACCAACTTGGAAAACAATTTGGCAGTTCCTCTAAGTCAAACCAGAGTTACCATATGACCCAGCGATATATGAATTCAACATAGAAGGGATAAATAAGATCCTTAAACTCTTAGGGGAAAAAAAAACATATATATATATATATATTATGCAAAAGAAATAAAAATACCAACTTTTCAATAGCAACAGAGGTCTGATGATAATTGAGTGATGATTTCAAAATTCTGAGTTACTCTCACTTAGACTTCCATACCCAACTTAACTATCAATTACATGTGAGAGAAGAATAAAGTTATTTTCAGATATCATAGGTGTGCAGAAAAGAGTTAACACAGCAGATCTAAGACTGAGATCCTCAGAAGGGCCTGCTTACAAGGCTGGCCTTTGGCTGGCCTCTGGGAACTTGGGTTTCAGGAGGGGTCTCACCTTTTCCAGGTGGGAGACACTGATAAGGGTGGCGCACTGAACCTAAACTATTTGTGACAGGTAAGAATTTAACACACGACAAAAATAAAGGTGATTATCAACTCCGAAAAAAAGAAGTTGTTCAAGAAACAGCCATAATACAAGTATTAAAGGTACCAAATGTGAGTGACCAACACAGTGGCACTGAGGAAGAGGAAGACATAGAGAGGTGCATGGGAGGAACAGAGAACAAAGATTAAGCCTTTTACACACACCGTACTGCATTGTCAGTGATGGCATGGGAGGATAGATGGGTGGATAGGCTGAACGATTAGGTATGTCTATGCAGGGGGGAGTGTGCCCATGACCAGATATAGGGTTGACAGACAATGTTTCTACAACTGTGTATGTTCTGTAAGAATTTCCAAGTATATAGTAGAGCTGACAAGAGACAAGGTTGTAGTCATTTTTTGGCTACAGCCAGCTACCCAGGGGAGTGAGTAGTTGGATCTGGGGGCTCCGGACCATGGTTGCACAGGACATCAAGCTCAATTGACATAACATACTACACAAAAACAGTGTTCCACATCCTACTTTGGTGAGTAGCAACTGGGACCTTAAAAGCTTGCAAGTGGCCATCTAGATGCAACAATGGGCCTCTCTCCTCATCCAGAGCAAAGAACAATGAAGAAAACCAAAGACGCATGGAAACAATTCGTCCAAGGAACTGGTACACCATGTGATCCTCAGCCTATATGACTGAGACCGGGAGAACTAGATGGTGCCTGGCTACCAATGTCAACCATTCAGAGGGAGATCTATGTAGGAGCTCCAGGACAGAGTGGGAGAACAGTGTGGAACAAAACTCACAATCATTAAAAGAAAAAAAAGACCAGGTTTGCTGGTCTGATAGAGCCTGGTGGAACCACTGAGACTATGGCCCCTAGCTGCCCTTCAGGTCTGGAATTAAACCCACTCCTGTGGCTTCCAGCCAAACAAAAGACAGGTGTATGAGCTGAACATTTACATTAGGTAGATTTACTCGTTGGAGAGATCGATCATGGGAGAGTAGGAGGGCTGTGTATGCATAGGGAGACAACTCAGGGGACAGGAGTGCATGGGAGAGAAGGATACAGGGAAGATGTGACTGGAGAGGAAGTGGGAAGAGAGCTGTTGCACTGTGGGAAATTGCAACTGATGTGATGAGACAAAGTGTGTGTGAACTGCTGCATGGAAAATGCATTTGCTCTGTAAACTTTCACCCAAGCCACAATAAAAATTAAAAAAAAAAATAAGAAAGAGTCATAATAAAGTTTCTATTTGGGTTGATGAAAAATTTCAGAAACAGATAATGCTGATGGTTACACACAATTGTGAATGAACTTGATGCCACTGAATTGTACATGTTAAAATGTGCTCGGTAAACATTCACCCAAATCACAATAAAATTAAGAAACAAAACAAAACTCAATGCCTAAAATTGATAAATCAACAGATACCAGCAGAAGCATACACTTAGTAATAGGAAGGTCAATTTTGAAAGGTCAGCTAAAGGCTACATATTAGGGTTAGGAGAGGTGAGCTATCTCTTCATTATGAGCCTTTTAACACCATTTGAACTTTTAGATCCATACTGTCTGATAGAAATATAAGGTACAAGTTTAAGTTTTCTAGTAGCCACATTTTTAAAAATCATAAAAAAACTGGTAAAATTTATTTTAATGATGTACTTTACCAAAAAAAAAACAAACTCACTGCTGTGGAGTCAGTCCCAACTCATAGCGACCCATCCTTGGGTTTCCGAGGCGGTATCTCTACGGAAGTAGATTGCCCAGTCTTCCTTCCGGGGAGTGGCTGGTTTGAACTGCCAGCCTTCTAGTTAGCAGTCAAATGTCTTAGACACTACACCACCAGAGCTCCTGATATACTTTATGTAACCTAATATATCCAAAATATAATTATTACAGTATGTGGCACTAACTATATTTCAAGCACTCAAGTGCCTTAAGTGACTAGAGGCTACCCTACTGGACAGCTCAGTTTCAGAGTATGTAGACATCCTACTTTAATAAAAACTGTATTTTAGAAAACAGTAGTAGCAATGAACAGTTTACCTTCTGCACTTGGCTTTTGACCACCAGCCCTGGTAGCAAGTTATGAAGGGTCCAGTTTTGCTCCTCAGTAGCAATGGCAGTAGAAACCTCTGAATGACCAACAGACAGATGAACAACTCCTCCACTGCCTTTCACCTCTTCAATGATGCAGTTCAGGTACTGACCCACCTTCAGTTTAGCACCTGAAAGCCCAGGCCCCAAAAGGAAAAAATATCTCTATGAGAAAGACTTTTAACTTGGACCCAAGCAATAACTAAAGAGATTCATGGTCTAGTTGTCATCTGATTTGCCCCATATTCCCAATCTCTAAGGAGCCAATTACAAGAAAGGAGTGAAGTTACCCTAACTGACCTAAAATCAACTACTCTTCAAAATTATGAAAATCCCAGCAAGCCAGGAGAGTGCTGGCTCAGATGTCATGGGGGCTCGAATTTCAGTGGACTCTTGTGGGTAAGAAAAACTGAAACTGGTCCCAAAGATCCTTGTGAGAGCCTACCACTCTCTGACCATCACACATCCTCCTTTCCTAACAGCTAGGACTCTGACCATCACACATCTTCCTTTCCTAACTGCTAGGACTAAACGCTGATTCCTCATTTCACTCACCAAAGTGGCATTTAAATATAACCCCCACACGTATCATCTCACTGCCATGACCTGGTCCCTCTTTTCCCCTCACCTTTGTTCTTCTGTCGGCTGTCCTCCTGGGCCTTCTGCAGTGGCAGGAAAGCTCTGTTCCCACTAACACCAATATCCACTAGGTAGCCATGGTCTTCCAGGCTAGACACAGTGCCTGTGAGGTGCTGAGAGAAGAGAAAGCCTACTCAAAGTTCAAAAATCAAAAGTAATGAGACACACAACTGAGCACTACCTAATGTGAATGCTCCCACCATCAATCTCCACATACTCTCCCTTACACACATCAACTTTAATTGTCTCAGGGCTTGAAGGTTCCTAGACTATGAGGTATGTTATACAGAGGTGAACAATGACAGAGAGGGCTCTCTCCCTTGGAGAATTTTTGAAAGAGAGGAAAGATTTTTTATGTTATATAGAAAGGGATGAATCAGATGGTCCTGCAAGGTCACTGCCAGACCCATGACTATCTAGAGAATCCAGAACTATCACTCTAGCTCTTATCTTGTCCTCTCTAAGCATCTCCAAGACATCAGAAAAAGGTGGCCAACCTCCTTCACATTTCACTGAACGCAGCATGGTATTCCAATCTGGCTCTGATGCTAGTCAGTTTGTATAAGGTTAAGTCAATTAAAATTGGCTGAGTCCATTTTCTCCAAGGTGTAAGAGCCTCCCTCACAGGGTTGCTGGAGAATTTAATCATGTAAATGCCTAAAGCAGCACCTCCTATATAGCATGCTCTCAACACTTGCAATTTCCTAAAAACTGCCTCACTTTTATTCTCCTTTCTGCCCAACTAAATCCTATCTAATGTTCAGGGTTCATCCCAAATACAATTATCACTGCTTCTAGCCAAACATACAAGGTCACGTTGCTCTCCTTCCTCTTAATTACAAGAGTACCTATTATGACTATAGTTTTATTATTTCATACCTATTGGACCTGAAAGTTCTGAGCTAGCACTAACTCTTCCTGAATCTCCATAGGACTGGTCATGAAGTAGCAGGATATCCATTACAATAGCTTGTAGATTAATTGCCCTCTCTACCCTGTCTCCTGCTCTCAAGGGAGTAATACACAACCATTCTTTACAAATACCAGATGGCCTTTAAAAAAAGACTTCATCTACAAAGAAGTGTTGACAAGGAAGGTACCAAAAGGAATTCCTTCTTGCTGCTGCCAAGGTTCCTAAAAATTCCTCTGCTAAGGTTCCCTAGAGGCTATTTTCTTTGCCACCAGTGAATCTTGGACTTTCCCCTGCTTCCCTCTAAGTTGATGTGTTTAGGTTTAGGTTCAAGTCTTCAATTTCCATTAAGAACACCAGAGACCTTCCCTCCAGAAAAACTTCCAGCCCTGGTTGTAATTTTCAGGCTGAAAATAAAAGGTGGATTGAGAGCAAACTTGCCAGCAAGCAGGGCAGTGAGAAGGCATGTTGCCTGCTCCAATTCCCTGACCACAGATACTCACCATGCCAGGCTTCAGGGCCTCAGCACTCAGCACTCTGTTGACATTCCTGGGGTTCAGAGACAGCTTGACACTCTTTTTGCCCTTCTCTGTGACACCCACACTGCTTATAACACATCTCACGAGCATACCAGGTGAGAAAAGCTCAGGCAAACGGACCAGGTCCTGCCAAATACAAATGAGAAAGACCTAATACATACCTTTCCCCTGAACCAAGGACTCATTGCCCTGCCTTGGCTCAGTGGTATCTCATCTTCAGGTCCCAAAGAAATCTCAAAGGTAGATGAAGGAGAAATTCAGTCATTCTCCCACAAAAAAGATTGGTCTGTGGCCAAGTCATAGTCTGGAATTTCAGCATATCTCCAAAGAATATAAAATGACTTATCAGAAGAGTTACATACATATTTACATATATATGTGTGTGTGCGTGTACATATACACACACGTGTATATACGTATATATGTGTGTATATATATGTATGTATATATCTGTGTGTGTGTATGTATGTGTATATATACATACATAGGCATTTTTCTTTGCCTATGTACATATATTCTTTGTGTATGTTTATGTATGTATGTGTGTGTGTGTGTATATATACATATGTGTATATATATATATATGTACAGTTGTCATTTCTTCTTTTACTTGCTGTTCAGCTTCCTCCAGTCTGATTTCCACACTTCTCAGTCACTACTTCATCTCCCAATACAACCTGTAAATGATCTTCATGTTGTAAATCCACTGGTCCATTCTCCAGTTCACTCACTTAACTTTTAAATAGAATCTAACACTATTGACTGCTCCTTCTTCCTTTAAACATTTCCTTCTCTAGCTTCCAAGGCCCTCACTTATGGTGTTCTTCTCTGTATCTTTGACCACTTCTGTTTCCTTTGACAGAAACACTTGTCTATTCAGCAATGAAAATTACAGTATTTGCTACTGGTTCGGTCCTTTAGTCTCTTCTCACTCTATTCATTACTATTAAGCAACTTCTTCTCCCATCATAGCTTCAACTACCACCTATATGAAGAAGTCTCACACATTTTTGTCTCTAGCCCAGACTTCTATGAGCTCTAGTATCATTTCTCCATTGTACTTAAACTCAATATATCAAAAAATAAAAAACCATGATCATCTCCCCTGATCTCAGGACAGATTAAACAAAAAAACCAAACTCACTGCTGTCAAGTCGATTTGACTCATAGCGACCCTTCCTTGGGCTTTCAAGGCAGTATCTCTACAGAAGCAGATTGCCCAATCTCCCTTCTATGGAGTGGCTGGTGGATTTGAACCACCAGCCTTCTGGTTAGCAATCAAATGCCTTAGGCACTATGCCACCAGAGCTCCCTAGGACAGATTATCTATTGTCAAGTCATGCACATCAGAAACCTAGACTCATCCTGGATTTGCTCTGCTTCACTATCAGCAAGCACTGACTTTACTTTCTCAGTCCTTGTTACTTCCTGAATCCATGCTCCATCATCCTCAGAGGCTGGGCTACTACGACAGCCTCCTGTCTCCAAGCAACTACTCATTCCTATACATTACATATTTGCTGTGCTATGTGTTACCCACCCCAACTAGAATATTTCAAGGGCTTCCTATTGACTATAGAATTAAAAACTAATCCTTAACATTGTCTACAGAGCTATAGATGGTCTAGATTCTACCTAGCTCTCAACCCATTCCATGCAACGCTTTGTTCTCTCTGCTCTCTCTATACTTCCCTTCTCTCTGCTACACACCAAGCTCTGTCTGCCTGAACTCTTTCTTTTTTATCTAGTAAACTCTCATCCTTCAAATCTCAGCTCAACACATCACTTCCTCATGGAAGTCTTTCCTGGCTCCCCAGACTAAATTGTTTTTACTGTTGGGTGCCATTGAGTCGATTCTCAACCCACATGTGACTCCATGTGACACTGCAGAATTGTCCCACACGGTTTTCTAAATCTTAATCTCTACGGGATCAGATTACCAGGTCTTTCTGCAGCAGAGCAGCTGGGTGGTCTCAAACCACAATCCTATCAGTTAACAGCCCAGTGCTTAACCACTATGCCACTGTTGTTGTTGCTGTTATTTGCCGTCAAGTCGGCCCCGACTCATAGCGACCCCTCCTTGGGTTTCCGAGGCAGTATCACTACGGAAGTAGGATTGCCCAACCTTCCTTCCGAGGAGTGGCTGGTGGGTTTGAACCGCCAGCCTTCTGGTGAGCAGTCAAGTGCCTTAGGCACTATGCTACCAGAGCTACTATGCCACTAGGGCCCCCTAAATCAAAATCAAACCCATTACTGTGGATTCTGACGTATAGCGAGACTACAGAACAGAGCAGAACTGCCCCACAGGGTTTCTAAGGCTATAAGTCTTTACAGAAGAAGACTGCCACATCCTTCTCCCACAGTGCAGCTGAAAAGTTTGAACCACTGACCTTTCTGTTAACAGATGAACACTGAACAGCTATGTCATCAAGGTTCCTTAATATCCTTTATTTATAATAAATTCTCATGGCACTTCATCCCCTTCCTTCTTAGCACTTCACAAAGTTGTAATTTTACATCTGTCTGTGTACTACTTACTCCAGGCACAGATCTCATCAGGGTTTCCCATACCTTTAGAGGTTCTTCTTGAGCCACTTGCTCGTTCAGCATTTTAGTGTAGGCATCACAGATTTCAGTCGCTTGCACAAAGCCCTGGAGGCCATTGGGGAGACTAATCACCAGTTCCAGGTCATTTACCTCTTTCACACAACCCAAAAGCCGCATCCCCTCACACAGAGACTAGAGGAAACAAAGAGAAATGTGTACAATAAGGGAGTGAACAGTGATTGGGAGGTTAGGGACTCTGACTTTTAGTGTCACCTTTGATCTAAAACTCACCGAAATTTCATAAAAGAAAATAAATAAATAAATCTGCTGCAAAAGACCTCTTCAAAGCGCTGAAGAGCAAAGATGTCTCTTTGAAGACTGAGGTGCACCTAACCCGAGCCACAGTATTTTCAATCACCTTATATATCTGTGAAGGTTGGACAATGAATAAGGAAGACCAAAGAAGAGTTGATGCTTTTGAATGTGATGTTGGTGAAGAATACTCAAAGTACCATGGACGGCCAAGAGACCTAACAAATCTGTCCTGGAAGAAGTGAGGTCAGAATTCTCCCTAGAAGTAAGAATGGCCAGACTTCATCTCACTACTTTGGTCATGCTGTCAGAAGGAACCATTCCCTGGAGAAAGATATCATGCTTGGTAAAGTGGAGGGTCATCAAAAAAGGGGAAGGCCCTCAATGAGATGGAAGAATGCAGTGGCTGCAAAGATGGGCTCAGATATAGCAAGGATTGTGGGGCTGGCACAGGACTGGGCAGTGTTTTATTCTGTTGTACACAGGGTCACCAGGAGTAAGCCGATTCAATGGCACCTGACAACAACAACAACATATATATGTGGATGTATGCCATTAGGGAGCTCTGGTGGTACAGTGGCTAAGCACCTGGCTGCCAAGAGAAAGATTGGTGGTTTGGTCCCACCAGCCACTCCGGAGGAAAACTATGTGGCAGTCTAAAGATTACAGCTTTGGAAACTGTATGGGGCAGTTTTACTCTGTCCTAAAGGATTGTTATGAGTTCAAACTGACTCCCCAACAATGGGTTTTATATATGTCAATGCTCATGTGAAATATCTGACTGCTGGCACTATTAAAATAATACAATAGTGTTATAATAGCACTGGGCACTAGAAGGTATTTTCTACTAAAACACTGACATTATCAAGCCACAAGTTCCATGAGGGCACAATGCCTCACCAGGGTCTCTGTAAGCCACACTAGGTTAGAAAAAGCATGAGTCCAGGTGGTGGTTAATAACTGAAGAAAACAAGGCTTAATTCTTAGTACCAGCTGCAAGAGACTTCACAGACAAAAATGAAATGAACAAAGGAAGGAAAGGAGAGAACATACATAGACATAAACAACTGAGGTAGTTTGTTAAAAGGAAAATACAAGTCTCAACAAACCTCAACTCTAAGTATTTCAAATTTCTCTTTTACAGGCTTGATGTCTTCTTTCTTTTCAATTTTCAACTTTTTTGTTTTTGCTGGCCCTTTTTGGCTCTTTTTCCGTTTGATGGATTCTTCTTCAGTAGAAATCTAAAAGAAGGAAGACCCAACAAAGATGCAAAAGAATGAAAAAAAAAAAAAAAAAAATTCTAGCCTTCCCTCCAATTTCAGGACATCCATCACCTTGCTTTACATATTCTTCCACTCTACCCCAGCCCACTCCCAATTGCTCCTGACTTCCTGCTTCAATTTAAAGTCTCTTATTCTGCCCACAATTCTCCCTTTGCCCAAGGTCTGAGCCTCTTTCGTATTCTCAAAAGCTCCTTTTCTCCAATGTTCTTCATTTCATCCCTTAGTTGGGACAGACACTAGAGTTTCCCAACATGAAAAGTAATGTGGAACAGTGCATGAAAATGGAAGTTAGACTCACAGAGACCTGAGTTACACTCAGGATGCCACCATAACAAGCAGTGTGGTTCTAGCTAAATTACATAACCTCTCTGAGCCTCAGTCTCAGTTCCTGACCATAGAAAGGTGATCTCTACTTCTTAATACAGCTGGAAAGATTATATAACACAGGCATAAGGCCATATAATCAAATATTAGCTTCATTCCCTCTAGCATTTAGAGGGCAGTCTATTCTAGCTGAAGGAGCTCTGGTGGCATAGTGCCTAGGGCATCTGACTGCTAACCAGAAAGGTTGGAGGTTCAAACCCACCAGCCACTCTGCAGAAGGAAGACTGGGCGATCTACTTTCGTAAAGATTTACCACCTTGGAAACCCAAAGGCGGTTGCTATGAGTTGGAAATGACTCCATGGTAGTGAGTTTGGGTTCTGGTTTTCTATTCTAACTGAAGTCCTTGGATGCTAATGCAAATTATGACTATGCTGTTACACGTAACAAAACGCAATGACCAAACCACTTTCTCTCCATCCTTAATCAACACAGTACAGAGTTCCTAAGAATAAGGAGTAACAGCACTTCAAACTCAAACACTAAATGCCATGCTTCAAAAGAAATAAACTCATGGTAGTGTGGCCTCTCTAACATGTTTAAATTGCAGAAGTGGACTTTAAAAATATTACGTATATGGAAGATAACACATCCTCAAACATGAGAATTCTTCATAAGGACACCAGAGAGAAAGCTTCATGAGTCTCACCAAAGAAGCACACCACTTACATCAAATAAGTTATCTTGTTCAACTGACTGCTGGAAAGCTTTCTCTGATTTGTGAGCCTTTCTTGTACCCCCTCGGGGGAAATTTTCTTCCAGGGTTGTCATGGTTGCGTCTCCTAAAAACAATGCAAAGAGTAACAGTGAGATGTAGCCTTAGGGGCAGATTTCTGAAAGGCTATCATCATTGCCAAGAGTTACAGCTTTCTAGCTGAATGTGCTAGACAGCACTCTGGACAAGGACATAATTTAGATGTCAGGCCCCAAATCATCCATAATTCAGCCTTCCAAAGGCTGCAAAACCACAAGTCCACAGACCTTCTTTCAGTAATAGAAGTTATAGATTCAATGTAATATTCATTGAGCAGCTATGATGTATAAGGCAGTTAGGTCAGAAACAAGCAAATACATAATTCCCTACCATCAAAGAAGTTGTATACTTTTAAGATAAAAGAAATATACAAATAATTTTCAAAAAGACAAACAATCCAATTAAAAAATGGCCAGAAGACATTAACAGGCACGTCATCAAAGAAGGTATCCAGGCAGCCGGCAAACACATGAAGAAATGTTTGTGATCATTAGCCATTAGAAAGATGCAAATCAAAACAACCATGAGATTCCATCCCACCCCAGCATTAACAGAAAGTTCAACAAGAGAGAAAATAACAAATGCTGACGCGGATGTGAAGAGATTAGTACTCTCATACACTGCTGGTGGGACTGTAAAATGATACACACTGTGGAAATCGGTATGGCAATCCCTTAAAAAGTGGGAAATAGAAATCCCATTTGATCCAGCAATCCCATTACGAGGTATATATGCTAAACAAGTGAGAGGCAGGACATGAATAGGTATATGTACACCCATGTTCATCGCAAAACTATTCACAATAGCAAAAAGACATAGTAACAGGAAAAGCCAGTCCATTCAATAAATACCAGTAACGTGCCTGTCGAACAATTATTGAAAGGCACGCTATTTCCTTTCTTTGAAGAAATGCTCTGCTAGACTACGGACAGAATAAAATACAATTGGAGTTAAATTTTAAAGGACAAGTTTTGTGGAAGATTTTGAATTAGGCATGAGTAGTTTTTCTTTACTTTGGCAAATCAGAGCCTTAACTAGCTAGGGGAAGGAACAAAATAGTAATTGAGAGTAATTAAATATACTGGACACCACAGATGGCACTGAGAATACTGAAAATACCATGGACTTCATGAATGAACAAATCTGTCCTGGAAGAAGTACAGCTGGAATGCTCCTCAGAATCAAGAATGGCCAGACTTCATCTCACCTACTTTGGTCATGTTGTCAGAAGGGACCAGTCCCTGGAGAAGGATATCACGCTTAGTAATGTGGTCAGCCAAAAAAGTGAAGACCCTCAACAAGGTGGACTGACATAGTGGCTGCAAAGATCTGCTCAACCATAGCAAATACTGTGAGGCCGGCGTAGGATTGGGAAATATTTTGTTCTGTTATACATGAGGTTGCTGGGAGTCAGTGCCAACTGGATGGTACTCAATACAGATGGTACATAAGGGGCTGTGGTGGTTCAGTAGTTACAGCATTTGGCTGCTAACGAAAAGGTAGGCGCTTGGAACCCACCAGCCACTCCCAAGGAAAAAGACGGGTAGTCTGCTTCCCTAAAGATTTACAGCTTTGGAAATCCTATGGGGGCAATTCTACTCTGTTCTACAGGGTCGCTGAGTTGGAACCGACTCAAGGGCACCTAATAACATAGAATGGATAGGAAGAATAGGTTGACGACAGCCAATTAAGATTCTTTTGGAGTACAGAAACCATGAGAATCAGAACTAGGTATCAGTGAGAACCGAAAATATGAAAAGTTGGTCCTGAGACACACTTAAGAAGAAAAATATACAGGGGTTCAGACTATAGAAGAGGTGATGACCAAGGAAGCTAGGATTTAAAGTAAAATGTAGGTGGGTCAGTTTGCTGGGAATTTGTACTTTAGTCTCGTTCAGAGGAAAGGAAACTGCGGATTCAAGGAGCATTTAAAGCCAGTCAGCGGCAGAGAAGGGAGTTGAGCTGCTTTCCAGGTATAGAGCCAGCTTCGAATGGGACCCAGGTGGCCCGGTACGGTGAGTGTATAGTAGGATCTGGAGGACCGCGACCCGGAGCAAAGCTGGAAGTCACAAGGTTCCCTTCCTCCCACCTGGCCCTCACTCACCAGCCCTGCGACGCAAGAACCTCTCAATTTCGGAACCCACGCCTCCTTATCACACACGCGGAGACCAGCAAACCACCTCAACACTGTGCTACCGGAAGAGTGGGCGGGCTCAACTGCCTACTTCCGTTAATCGGTTACATCCTACTTCGCTGGGCAGGGGATTTGGAGGCAGGAAGCGGAAAGAAAGAGTTTCTAGCCGCAGCCAATCGACGCAGAAGGCCGAATATCCGTACCCGGTTGAACGGGTGCTGGGGAGTTGACATCTTCCGGCTGGGCCGAGGGTTTGCTGCGTACGTTGAAGGACACAGGCTGTGTAATTTGTGGCTCTTGCAAGGTAGGTTTGGAGAGGGACCCCGGACTCGAACCTCACGCCTCTGCTTTGCAGGACTGGCCGACAATCTGACCGTTCCTGGGCCGGGAAACACTGTGAGGCCTTCGATTTTTGGAGGCGAGAGCGGTGGAGAATAAGGAGAGAGAAAGAGGCGTGGGTGCAGTGGGGCGGGCAGTGGTGGGAAGCGTTGGGGCAAGACAGACAGGTGCCCGCGAAGTCTCCCACAGCTCCTTAAAGCCCTTAGGTTGCATTTTCCAGTAGAGAAAACTGCCCGCCGCGCAGGTAGTCAGTCCCCCAAGGTCACCAATGACGTAATACTGGACAAAGATTCGGGCTTCTGATTCCATCTCTAGCCAAATTAACAGCAATTCTTCTGTATGCCCACAGCTGTTTGTTGCCACTGAGCTGTGCTTAGAAGGCTGGTCAGCCAGGCTACCTTTAGGTGCACCGCAAGCTTTTGTCAAAGCAGCAGTGAGCGTGGCGCGGCCTTGCATTTCCCCAGGCACTTAGATTTCAGTCTGTGTACGGTCGGCGGGAAAGCCTTTCTTTCCTGTAGACAGACCAGAGCTGTAAGCAAGCTCCTTGAAGTTGCAAGAGGCTGCTTCTGGTACTTACCTAAGCGGCTCTGTCTTTGCCTCCTCTATCTCCTGATCTCACCGTTCCAGGTAGGTGTCCGGTTAGAAAACTACTGAGAAACAGAGAAAGTCACAAGAGCAGCTTATCACATTGGGCCTTTTCTGAATTACCCATTTTACTGTTGGAGAGAAGCATGAAAAGGTTAATTACATCCCCTTCACCAGCAATTACCACCTCCCCTCTTACACTTTCTGACAGGCTACATTTAGGAATATTCAATCACAATTATAAATGTCTTAAATGATTTTCTCCATTAATATGTCTTTCTAAAGTCACGTGACTCAAAGGAAAGAATTTAAGTCAGGGATTCTAATCGATTCAGTCATGGCTGTTGCAGTAGAATTGGAACAGACCCAAATTTCCAAAATATGTGTATACTGGAATAATAATCAGAATGGGAAAAATTACAGCTCAAAGCTCTAGAATGGGAAACACGGAAGAGGCATAGTGAGCCCTTTATGGAGCCTGATGCAGGAGATTGGATTATCACGTTGCCACCATCTTTGGGCTGGCACCATTGTTTCCCACTTGACCAGTCGAGAGTTGGTTGCTCACATTTGGTTATCTCTGGTACACCCACATTTTGAAAATTCAGATCCGTTCAGGTTTGGCTTTGTCAGCTGTGACTGAACTGAGAAGAACCAATTGGAAGCCCTTATCTCACTTCAGTTATTCCACAAAGTGAGTTCTAACACAAGAGTTTCCTGATCTTTACCCTAAAGTAACGTACAGTAAAGGGTACAGACCCAAGTGTTTCCAGACTTTCCGCCCATCATTTACCTCACCAGCAACACACCACTTCCTATTCCATCTCAGCTTCTCAAAAGCCTTCCTCCAGCTAAATTTCAGTTTCTATACTAACTATCCCCTTCCCTTCAGTCATAATTAATCTGTGAAATATCACAAGCATCAATAGTGTGTAAAGTAGAGGGGAATTTAAACTGTTCCAGTTGAACACTACATCCTCTAAAAATTTTTGTTAGACACAAAGTAATGGAGAGTCACTAATGGGGTTATCAGTTAATTTGACAAAGCCCTTTTCTCCTGGAAACCTACTTAATATCATCAAAAATGTATCAAAAAGGTGAATTGGGGGAAAAAGTATGTCTTTAATGTGTTGTGTAAAATGAAACAGTTAATATAAAAGGTATATTGTAAAGATTTCTTTCAATGGAGAATTTTCCTCTTGAGTTGGCCTGGCTCAGACCTCTTAAAATAGAGGGTCCCAGAGAAATTTGGATTTCCTTCATTGCTCCAAGAACCTTCTTGAAACTGTGTTTAAAATTAAGATCATTATCTCAAATTATCATTGCCAATTCTATACACATAAATGCCTATGGTTTCCTTTGAATGGTAAACTGAGGGGTAGTGCTAGTTTCCATAGCAATGGCTTCCTTGCAGAGCTTCCTCTTCCATTTCATCCACAGCCAGCTGAGTCACTGCCACTGCCTACCGACCTCGACCGGACCTCGACCGGCTCGTCTATGTTGCCAATCGACTCGGCGTGGCGTCGGTCGTGGTAGATAGGCGGTCATGCATACGAATTTTCTACTGTTGTTCTGGTAACCTTTGAATATATTTTTGCTGCTTTTTATTAAAAAGAAATACATGTCTTTGTAAAATACACGGATATTACAGAAATAACCCCTCTTAAAAGTTGTGTATGTATTCTTCCAGATTTTTAAAATAAAATTACTAATAAGATTTGATCCTCTGTCTCTATTACTGCAATCGTTTTCAAACTTTATCTTGCATTAGAACCACCTAGAAGGCTTATTGGGAGCTCTGGTAGTGTAGTGCCTAAGGCACTTGACTGCTAACCAGAAGGCTGGCAGTTCAAACCCACCAGCCACTCCTTGGAAGGAAGATGGGGC